GAGACGCCCACACACGAGCTCGGCCGCGTTCCCGTCCGTAGTGGACATGTCCGTCACTGTCCTCTCCCTAAGGGACATATCATCATCATCCTCATCAATCAGCACCACATCCGTTTTCACGTCCACCTGGATGCATGGAACGGTCTGAACATCCTCCGAGCTCTCCAGGTAACTGGAGTCGATGAAACCCATGAGAGACGACTTGTCAATGTCCAGTGACGCGTTGATTAGACTGTCCTCTGCCTCGTGGTGCAGATATTGCATCTCTTTCAGATTTTGGAGATTGGAAACGCTCCATAAATTACATGTCTGTTCATTTGTTTCTATAACGCCGTTCGATGCGACCTCTGTCGGATTTGTTTTCCTTCCATCATCAGCCGTGACCTCTAAGGTCAGTTCGGGTTCAAATATGGTCTTCTGCTGGTCCCTGAAAAGCGTCCCATCCTTTTGAGAATTGTTCATCATACACTTTTGCTTCTTCACACAGGTTGTCTTTCCAACAGAGCCTAGGACAGTGAAAAAGAGGATACATATGGCTATAGATACATAAGGACATGCTAAAGTCACCGCTATACGATATCAGGGCATTGTTATATGCGGTTGCTAAGATGTCATTTTTAATGTGTTGCTATGTGGTTACTTAGTCAAAAAAGACCAAAAGAGTCTCCATGATATTCTGATCTACTGTTAAAAAAAAAAAAAATTATAAAAAAAAGGTGGTGCCTTAAAGGGATACTCCACTTTTTTTGGAAATAGGCTCATTTTACAACTCCCCCAGAGTTAAACTGTTGAGTTTTACCGTTTTTGAATCCATTCAGCCGATCTCCGGTTCTGGCGGTACCACTTTTAGCATAGCTTAGCATACATCATTGAAGTGGACAAGACCATTAGCATTTCTAAAAAAAATGCATTTCTTTAAAAGTCAAGTTTTAAATAGGAAAAATATCGAAACTCTTTGGTCATTTTTTTTTAGAAATGCAAATGGTCTTGTCCACTTCAATGATGTATGCTAAGCTATGCTAAAAGTGGTACCGCCAGAACCGGAGATCGGCTGAATGGATTCAAAAACGGTAAGACTCAACAGTTTAACTCTGGGGGAGTTGTAAAATGAGCCTATTTACAAAAAAAGTGGAGTATCCCTTTAAATTTTTAAGTACAATCAACTTAAATGTTTAAGTTGTTTCAACTTAAATTACATTAAAGAAAAATAAGTTGAATCTCTTGTATAACTTATAACAAAAAGTTGAAAATTGCTTAACATAGCCCCTTTCACACAGAGATTCCGGAAAATACACGGATAAAGCGACCCGGGATTTGACCCGGGTTCGTTTGATTTTGCTTCATTCACACTGCCAGTGATTTGCCGGAATCAGAGAGTGCGTTCACACACAACCCGTGTATGTTCCGGAAAGACACGTGACATCGATGTGACATGTAATGTCTCAGCAACGTGTATAGTTTGCTTATGAGCTGCGATTTCTCTCTGGAGAAACCACGATTGTGCATTTTTTTCTCTGATTCGATCATAAACTAACGCATTACGTACCGTTTTACTAGCCTGCTTTCACTTCACTTCAGCGTCATCATTACGACACGGCATTGGTTCTGGCTTTTGTTCACACAGCGCGCGTTCCGGGTCTGAACACGGCAATGTTACTAGGTCCCCAACCCGGCATCGATCCCGGCATCAGTCCCGGGTCGTGTTTGCTTTCACACAGAAGGCACTCTGGCAATTTGCCGGCAATTTGTCGGGTTCAAAGCGCTGTGTGAAAGGGGCTTTATTTTGATGAGTTAACGCAATGTAAAAAAAATGTGTTATCATAACTTATTAATCATATCATTTATAATGACAACTATAATACTGGTATCTATATGGCTATTCCCTCATTTAAAAGGTCTAAAATATGTTTTTCACCCATAAATCATATGTTGAAGCACTTCTCCTTAACAAGCCACATCATTTGAGGTAACATTCATATCTGGGATGAGTTATACACAGTATGTTGAGTTATATACTTAGTCTTAGTGGTTAGCTCAAATAACTCCAGCAATAGTAAAAATTACGATTAGCAAACAAATAAAAATTGGAATTTATCATGAATTTACAATGTGTCTGTCTGTCTATCCTACCTTTCAATAATTTGAGGTCAGTAAGATTTGTAATGTTTTTGAAAGAGCTCACCAAGGCTGCACATATAGAAATATGTGAAATATTATTACAATTTCAAATAACTTATTTCAATTCAAATATATTTTCAAATGTAATTTATTCCTGTGATCAAAGAACGGTTTTCAGTGTCACATGATCCTTCAGAAATCATTCTGATATGCTGATTTGCTGCTCTATAAACATTTCTTATCAATGTTGAAAAATGTAGTGCTGCTTCATATTTTTGTGGAAAGCATGAAAGCATCTTTTGTAACATTATAAATGTCTTCACTGTCACATTTGATCAATTTAAAATACATCCTTGCTGAATGAAATTGTACTGACCTCAACCTTTTGAAAGATAGAGTATGTATACCTAAGCCATTTCTTATTTCTTACAAATCTGAATGAGAAAATATTTCTATCACATAAACATTAAGTTTTTGTTCATTTAAAGTGCCCTGAGATCTTTCTCTACTCACCAGAGTTAGCGTTGTCTTTGGTGACCATGGCAAGCTCTTCCTAACACACCTCAGAGAGCGCTGGTCCAAGAGACAGGTCACATCTGGACAGTCAAGAAAACAAAAAGAAATAAGATAAACCCTCTACGGATTCAAGATTACCACAAAGGAATTAACCTTTTGCCCTTCCAATACCACACTAATACCTCAACATCCATGCCTTTACTTTTAGTATCCACAGATACAGCACTGTTAATGCTCCAGATGTTGCAAACAAAGAAGAAATGCAAAACATCCAACCACAAATGCTCTAATACACATTACGATATTGAGAGAACAGAAAGATGAAGAAACAGGAGTAGACGAGGGAATGAAAATGGGAGGTGGGCAGTTTTTTCCCCGGCGCTCTCCTCAGGATGAATATAAACATGAAGCCTTTAAAAGCAGCAAAAATAACTCAAAGTTCCCAAGAGACTTCAAGGCATTTTCAGAGGAAGAAAGACACTCTAACTGGCGCGGCCGTCACTCGTGAGGAACACGAAGACACATCTGCATATCAGGAGTCACAAACAACACAGCACTACAGAAAATATCCCACTTCTCTTAGAAATAACAAAGTAAAGTCTTACCAAAGCTTATAAGACAATATTGAACTTACACTTTCATTTATTTTCTTCTTTGATCACAGCAGCTTTTCCACTCACTGCTCCAAACACACCGATTACACATGACTGCACATTACACACGACAGAATCAGGCCTTTATGAATTAATGATGTCTATTAGGCCATATGAGTAGACAAGAATTCACTACACAGCAGTCTTATACCAGAGTTTATCTCGTCTAAGACTATATACTGTGCGTGTATATATATATATATATATATATATGTATTACACACACACCTAAGTTATATAATACATTAAATTGCTTAATGATGGTTATTTGTATGTTTTGATTTAGTGTGCTAGTGGGAAATATTTTAGATTTCCAAACATTCCTTTTGCAAATGTGTAATTTGCACAAAAAATATTTGTGTAATGTAAAATGTATATTTTAAAGCATCTATCCCACAAAATTAAATATATTAAATTCACAATAAAAAGAGACACCACAACTACCATCAAAAACTGATTAGGTGATATTTCCAAACTAATTACGATTATGTTAAATGTGTAGCACTAAATTATCATTTTCACAAACATGCAGGGATTTACAAGTACAGCTGCATGTATAAAAATACATCTATCCACCAAATTCCAATGAAATTAAGATTGCATTTACAATAATGAGTTAATCACCATCAATAGCTTAATTGTGTTTCAATGCTAACTAGGATTATTAAAACCCTACTAAGTAAACAAGTTCGAAGTAATCAACAGACACATCAGATCATTTTCTAAAAATGGGTGAATGAGCTGCGAAACAGGTTAAATTGGTCTGAAAACTAGTTAAGATGTTACAAACTAAGAATCGCTACAAATCATCAAAAAGTGAAATTGGAGAAAAGGAATTATTACGTAGATATAAAAGTTATAATATATTTATCTTGTTCAGAAAAGAGCTTCTGTGAGAAACCCCCTCCTCATATACTCTGGAAACACACTAATGAATAATACACACGGAGCACTTACACACGTGTGTGTGTGTGTAAGCAGGGAGAGGGCAAAGAGAAGAAAAGAGGCGAGAGAGTGAAATATTCATGAGAAACAGCCCTCCACTCAACTCCTCCCCCACTGATACAGACTGATTAAAACTGATACAATATGAATTATATTTAACTGAATTCAAACAAAAAATATTGAATAAAATCACATTTAAAAGGCAATATTTAACAAATCTGTAGCAATTTATTGTATTCCCTTTAAGTAAGTTATTTTAAGTTATTGTATCCCACTTTTATACATTTTTAGTACTATTTATCATGTTTCTTTGCACAAATACAGTACATAATTTAGTTCTACATGATGAGCAACCTGTGTGTGTTATTTTAAGAGAGCAACCATACATCTGTGTTTTTTATTTATTTTCTTTGTTAATTTATAATTATTTAAATCTTCAAACCATACAATCTTATGAGAAAGAGATTTCAAGGTTTTACCGTTGTTGTGAAGCAGTCATTTTTTATTGTTCTTGCTGTGGTATAATAACACGGATTTGTACTGGTCAGACGGAGTCAGAGCATCGGGATCGGGGTCGGATCTAATATATCTCATATTTCTGACATGGAGATCCATCCTACCTAACCACCATTTTTTCCCAATCTTTAGAAATAATCAGCATTCCACCAGTTCGACACGGTCCCACGGGACAACCTGTCACTCACATGAGATCCACCAATAGCAAACCACAACAATCCAACCATCCAATCAATTCCCCATGGACAAATATACGTCACAACTTCCATTTAACGGTGACTTTAAGTGTTTAGTATCCCTTCTGACTCTGTAAGAGTTACATCACCATCACTCCGCCTTCTCCTTTGACTGTTGTTTAATCTGTCCTGAGAGGTACAGTGTCCCGGTCCTGTGGTCCTCCATTGAAAATGATGCTGTGCTTGAGGTTTCAGAAGTGTTTTCACTGACTCTGATAGTGAATTTCCTCGGAAAAGACACAGGCTGTTTGTAACGGACTGACACAGTCAGAGGAGCTCTCACCACTTCAACTCCTACAGGTGTAGAAAACGAGGATGAAACCACATTGGGGAAAGTTGTTATATATAATATGAAAGTATATAAAAAGAATAATCATACATTTTATAATAACTACATTATAAATGTAGGGCTAAAGGGCAAAAGGTTATAAATATACATTTATAAATATATGAACACTATATAATATATAATTTAGTAGAGTAATAAATATTATATATATATACATATACACTCACCAGCCACTTTATTAGGTACACCTGTCCAACTGCTCGTTAACACTTAATTTCTAAGCAGCCAATCACATGGCGGCAACTCAGTGCATTTAGGCATGTAGACATGGTCAAGACAATCTCCTGCAGTTCAAACCGAGCATCAGTATGGGGAAGAAAGTTGATTTGAGTGACTTTGAACGTGGCATGATTGTTGGTGCCAGAAGGGCTGGTCTGAGTATTTCAGAAACTGCTAATCTACTGGGATTTTCACACACAACCATCTCTAGGGTTTACAGAGAATGGTCCGAAAAAGAAAAAACATCCAGTGAGCGGCAGTTCTGTGGGCGGAAATGCCTTGTTGATGCCAGAGGTCAGAGGAGAATGGCCAGACTGGTTCGAGCTGATAGAAGGGCAACAGTGACTGAAATAACCACTCGTTACAACCGAGGTATGCAGCAAAGCATTTGTGAAGCCACAACACGCACAACCTTGAGGCGGATGGGCTACAACAGCAGAAGACTCCACCGGGTACCACTCATCTCCACTACAAATAGGAAAAAGAGGCTACAATTTGCAAGAGCTCACCAAAATTGGACAGTTGAAGACTGGAAAAATGTTGTCTGGTCTGATGAGTCTCGATTTCTGTTGAGACATTCAGATGTTAGAGTCAGAATTTGGCGTAAACAGAATGAGAACATGGAACCATCATGCCTTGTTACCACTGTGCAGGCTGGTGGTGGTCGTGTAATGGTGTGGGGGATGTTTTCCTGGCACACTTTAGGCCCCTTAGTGCCAATTGGGGTACCTAATAAAGTGGCCGGTGAGTGTATATATACACTCACCGGCCACTTTATTAGGTACCCCATGCTAGTAACGGGTTGGACCCCCTTTTGCCTTCAGAACTGCCTCAATTCTTCGTGGCATAGATTCAACAAGGTGCTGGAAGCATTCCTCAGGGAGTTTGGTCCATATTGACATGATGGCATCACACAGTTGCCGCAGATTTGTCGGCTGCACATCCATGATGCGAATCTCCCGTTCCACCACATCCCAAAGATGCTCTATTGGGTTGAGATCTGGTGACTGTGGAGGCCATTTTAGTACAGTGAACTTATTGTCATGTTCAAGAAACCAATTTGAAATGATTAGAGCTTTGTGACATGGTGGAAGTAGCCATCAGAGGATGGGTACATGGTGGCCATAAAGGGATGGACATGGTCAGAAACAATGCTCAGGTAGGCCGTGGCATTTAAACGATGCCCAATTGGCACTAAGGGGCCTAAAGTGTGCCAGGAAAACATCCCCCACACCATTACACCACCACCACCAGCCTGCACAGTGGTAACAAGGCATGATGGTTCCATGTTCTCATTCTGTTTACGCCAAATTCTGACTCTAACATCTGAATGTCTCAACAGAAATCGAGACTCATCAGACCAGGCAACATTTTTCCAGTCTTCAACTGTTCAATTTTGGTGAGCTCTTGCAAATTGTAGCCTCTTTTTCCTATTTGTAGTGGAGATGAGTGGTACCCGGTGGAGTCTTCTGCTGTTGTAGCCCATCCGCCTCAAGGTTGTGCGTGTTGTGGCTTCACAAATGCTTTGCTGCATACCTCGGTTGTAACGAGTGGTTATTTCAGTCACTGTTGCCCTTCTATCAGCTCGAACCAGTCTGGCCATTCTCCTCTGACCTCTGGCATCAACAAGGCATTTCCGCCCACAGAACTGCCGCTCACTGGATGTTTTTTCTTTTTCGGACCATTCTCTGTAAACCCTAGAGATGGTTGTGCGTGAAAATCCCAGTAGATTAGCAGTTTCTGAAATACTCAGACCAGCCCTTCTGGCACCAACAATCATGCCACGTTCAAAGTCACTCAAATCAACTTTCTTCCCCATACTGATGCTCGGTTTGAACTGCAGGAGATTGTCTTGACCATGTCTACATGCCTAAATGCACTGAGTTGCCGCCATGTGATTGGCTGCTTAGAAATTAAGTGTTAACGAGCAGTTGGACAGGTGTACCTAATAAAGTGGCCGGTGAGTGTATATATATATATATATATATATATATATATATATATAATCTATTAATATATAAATAAAAATATATATTTTACTAATATATTAAAATATATTTAATATATATTATATTATGTTTATTTTTTAATATATTTTTAATATATAATGTTATATAAAATAAATAATAATAATATATCATTTTAAAATATAAATTAATAATTATATACTATCATTATATATACAGTATATATATATATATATATATATATTATGTATATATTATACATAATTTAATGTAATAATATATATAATATTCAAGTATTCAATTATAATATATACTTAATAAATTATATAATATTGTCTGTGGCCCTCTAGGAGCTGAGTTTAACAATAACACATTTTTTTAAATTGTTTATAAAATGAATTTAATAAAGTAATACATAAGAGATAAAAAGTCTGACATAGGTTATTTACACAATGCAAAATGTTGCAGTGAAAGTCATTATAAATTTAAGCAGTGTATTCCTATGGACCTACAAAGACATGTACGCCATTCCACTGCTGGTGTGATTAGCCCTCCAAACATTACTTACCATTGTGCTTCTCCATCTCTGCCATGCATCTGGAGAACATCCACAGCATGTGTGCGGAGGGACTGGTAAACCCCAGCCAAGAAAACACATGCAGAGGGCAGAGGTCACCAAACACCCAGGCACATCTCACACCGCTGGACCAAGGAACAGCCAGGCTGATACATCTCTCTGAGACAGGATCTGGGAAAAAAACAAATAAATCACCAGCTGAAAGTGTTTGATGCATTAGGACGAACACCCTCATGTAGAGTAAAACGCTTTTCTCAGCCACTGATATGAGTCCGTTGTGTGTCATTGGGTCCCTTACCATGGGCGATCTCGAAGTCAGGCTGAGCCTCAGGCCTGAATTTATTGTTTGGAGAAAGTAGAGTCAGTGTGGTGGTCCATACGGTCTGCTGATGTCTGGATGCGGTTAAAGTGAGATCCACCTCCACTCCCGCACTAACGGTCCTGTACTCCAGCACTCTGGCCTGCAGAGAAAACGTCCCTCTCTTCAGCTCATCCACGGGCTCAGTCACACTCAAGACCTCACGGACACTCAACAGACCTGCAGGAAAGAGTAGTCATTCTTATCTGAGTTAACTCACATGGAAACCATACAAAACATGGTAACACTTTACAATAAGGTTCATTAGTTAACTACATTATTTAACATGAACTAAGAATGAACAATACTTCTACAGCATTTATTAATCTTAGGAAATATTAATTTCAACATTTACTAATACATGATTAAAATCAAAGGTTGTATTTGTTAACATTATTTAATGCACCGTGAACAAACAATGAACAGCTGGATTTTTATTAACTAACATTAACAAAGATTAATAAATACTGTAACAAATGTATTACTCATTGTTAGTTCATGTTAGTTAATACATTAACTAATGTTAACTAATGAACCTTATTGTAAAGTGTTACCAAAAACATTTGTATTACTTGAAATAAAAAAAAACTTAAACTTATTGTTTTTGCATTTCTTTTTTTACATTTCTCATTTTGTTAAAAAAACTACAATTGAAATAAAAATGGATAAAGACTATATTGAAACAAAACTAATAAAAATGACAAAAAAAACACACATTTAACTGTCTAACATATGAACACACTGATATACATGCTTATCCTCATCTCTCAGGTTAAGAACCTTGAGCATTAAAAAACGTATTTGTATTAATTGATCTGGATTACTGACATTTATTATCAGATATATATTACTACAGAGCTAGTCTCTCTGATTCAGATTGGTCAAAATAAGACTTTCTGAGGCCAATTATTCCAAATGGCTGTTTATTTTGCTGACTGTACATTATCTCTAACTTGTTTACACTGAATGATTTGTCGTAAAAAAAAATATATTTCTAATGAAATTATGATTTGAATTTGTATTGTAAATCTTAAAGAGGTCAAATAAAAAATCCTATATTAATAAAATAAAATCAGACTGGACAAGAAGATTTTGGGACAAATATATGCAGTAGAATCTTATTTCATTCTTAGATTATTCCTGCTTGAATCCAAATTATGATAGAAATTGAATTTTTTTTTTTTTTGCAAGGGTTGTGCTCAACCCATATGCTGAAAAATACGATCTTACCCAAAGGGCTTAGATTGAATCTCTCTGAGCACACAATCATGGTGAGCAGTCTGGTGAAGAGAAACTCGGGATAGCACATGGGAACATCTCTGAAGACACTGTCAGGATAGTCCCAACCGTAACCCGAAACACTGCAGAACCTCCTCAAAGACACAGCATCATACCTACAGATGACCAAACAATTACAGGTTTGTTTACTTATTAAGAACTGGAAAATATAAAGAGTTTCATTAAGCTTTTTAACATTATGACATATAAAATGCATGACAGATATTTATTAAAACACAATAATTTAGTCTGAAAATGTACATAAAATAATATAAATAATAGTTTGATAACTTATACATAATACAAAAATAATACAAAAATACATAATACAAAAATAATACATTATTACTAAGTAATCATAAGCTTAAATCAATACATTCAATTAAACTGTCTTTAAGTCATCTTACTTGCAGTTGATCAAAGTGAAAACAAGCTTGTCTTTTGTGTCTTTGTGTTTCCACATTTTTCCTCGTTTTTTGCGGAGAGATTCATGAAGGTATCTGGTCATAAGGTAAACAGAACCTGGCAAATGTCTCCGGGAGTCAAAGACTGTGTGAGATTTAAAGGAGATGTGAGAAGTGTAGAAGACTGAATGAAAGATGTACAACAAAGTTACACCTGACACCACAGCCATAAATGTGCTAAAATGATCCATATTCCGGTCCATCAATAAAAATTCTTTTACAAAAACATGTAAATAGAAACTGTTTATGATATGTTCAAAGTTCAAAGTAATTTTATGGTACTACATTGTTGCGCGTTTCTTCTTTCTGTTGACAGTTTTGATCGTGAATATAAAAGAGAGCGCAGCGCTTTATCGCTCTCTAGTGTCTGGGAATGCCAACTGAAAAATCTCTGTGGTGCCAAAGTACAAACCACCTGACATGATGAACTTTACTTTTATATTAATTATGAACTAAATGAAATTATATAATTATACATAATTAAAATAATTGAGTTATTTGAATAACACAAATGGATGAATACTAATGAAAACGATAGGCTACTAATTAATTAATTTATGAAGTAGCCTGTAGTAGGCCTATTAACATTAATAATAGCATAAATTAAATGATGGAATTTGATAAATTATAAAAAAAAAATTAGTTACAATAATATGGTCCACATATTATTTTATATTTCATATAAAATTTGAAAATAGTAGGCTACTTTTGACATTTTTTCATAACAAACGTAAAATTCAATACCTTCAAGTTCGCTTTTTTTTAAAAACTTGAAATAATAATTGCTAATAATAATAAATTGTTAATATTGGTTATGACGTTTAAGTATTCTAAACTCTAATAAAAAATAGTTATAGAAATAAATTCAATTACACAGTTTATTGAATGTATTTTCAGTAGCCTATTAAATCCGACATCATCACTCATGTGTCAATCATCTGATCAATTAAAGCCGCATCGATCTCAGCTGTGCGCGCGATAAAGCGCCAGGTCGCGAGCTGAGGCGGTTTGACTCGCGTTTCCCTGCAGTCATGTGTTTGTGTGTGCTGCTGAATGTCGCTGCAGGGATCTTTCTGCTTCTGAGAGGTCAGATGAAAGTCTCACATTTAACTTTACTGTAATATTTTCCTCCGCTAATTTATCTCGTTCAGCTATTGAGAAACTGTTGCAGGCAGCAAATAGGTGTCGATGAAGTCACTGCATACTAAATTAAAAACGAATACCAGACAGACTATTTATCCTGTCAGAATAAATCACTTTATTTTCAAACACTTCTAACTGTAAGTCGTTTCAGTTTCATAGGTAAGTTAGGCCTACGTGCTTTACTTATTTTAGAATAATAGTAGGCCTATCTTAGGCTAATATCTTTGGAACTTTCTTAGAGTCTTTGCCTTAATTTCCTAATTTAAATTATTTAGCTGAAATTTGAAGCTGCCAGTGTGAATCTCAGAAAGCCTTTCAAGAATATATCCAGGTCACATGTCTTCTCTTTTTCTTTTTTGTTGCATTGTGGCATGACATATGAGCTGGTGCTCTTCGGTTATTTTTGACCAATTTCTTTTGCTATGTAAGCCGAAAACAATATCAGTTTTTATCAATTTTTTAGATCACGCTCAAATTTGGAACACAATGCGTTTAGATTTATGGCTTTGGTTTTCTTTGCAGTTTTAGAATAAAATATTTTTTGGAAAATACTTATTTCATATAAAATTAGAAAATAGTACTTTTGACATTTTTCATAACAAACGTAAAATGCAATACCTTTCCAAGTTCGCTTTTTTAAAAACTTTTTTCACTGTAGCAATAATCTGCCAAGTGTCGCCTCTAAAAAGAGACCAAACTGAAGTCTGTGCTCCAGAGCATCCAATATGTACGACAGTTAAGTTGGAAATGTCACTTTCAGGTCTATGCTCTAAAAGTGAATAAATGCATATAACTACTGCACATTTCTTCCCAACAAAACACTACCATGACGTATGCCTATAAATTGTGCTTGTACATCTTGGTAGTATTTGTTGTAATGCTTTTGTGTTGATTTAAATAAAAATGTAAAATGAGTGCATTCCAGTAACAAAGATAATGTTGTGTGTTCTGCTCTAGCTGAATGTGTCGTGGCTGCAGAGGCTTCTGAACATGTTCCCCTGCGCTGCAGATTGGGCTTCAAACCCTGTAAGGACGGAGCAGAGTGTGTTCTCTACAGCCATGTGTGTGATGGTGAGAATGACTGTGCTGATGGCTCCGATGAAGATGAATGTGCATCTGTCTGCAGCATGGGTACGCTTTTATACAATTGTAACAAACATTTTTATTGATACTTGAGTCCCAAATTGATTTCCAGAATACAGGGTTAATAAATTATAACATGCATCAATATCAGGGCTGCATGCACCCATGTTGGCCAGTAATCGGTATCGGCTAATAAAAGCAATCATTTTCTCTATCGGGCATTGGTCGATTGTTTAAAAACAACCGATGATCAGGGCCGATTATATATATATATGTCATGTGTGTGAAGAAATTTGTCATGAAAACTGCGCATCTGAGTTGTAGCTATTCAAACATTTCAGTTTTTGTGTAATTATTCTATCTGAAAATAAATATAACATTTGAATATAATAGTTTGGGCTCTTGTACATTTTAACCTCCAATATTATAATGTAGGCTACCAAATGACAGGGTTTACAGCATTAGTTTGGAGGGTTTTTTTCTTTAAGAAAATCAAACTATCCGTATCAGCAGATATCATTCCAAATAATCTGCTGTATCGCAGGAGAAATGTAGTACTGGTGCATCTCTAATCAGCTATACGTGTTTTTATAAAAGGGAATTCAATATGGAGCTGGTGTTATTTAACATAAATCTTAAACATGTCAACTTGTTGCCAAGGCAACATTTCTCATTTTCATTTAGTTTAACTTGATATACTAAAATAAAACTAAAATAGAAGCTAAATAAATATAAATACCAAAAACTAATAAAAATGAGAACTGCACCACAAAATTACTAAAACTTTAAGTCAAATTTTAAACGGAACGCATAAATAACTATGGTATCTCAATAATAATAATAAAATCAAAAAACTGAAATGCAGAATTTATTATAATTTCTGGCCTTGGTGCTCATATTAATTTGGTTTATGTCTGATAACCACTTTTTAGATTAATATAGATATAATTGTTCATAGTCTAAGTATTCAATGCAATTACATCAGATGTAACTAATTAAATTACAGAAAATTAAGAGATCCCTTACTTTACTTTTTCAAGGGAAAAGTAATTAAATTACTGCAATTAATTACTTGGAAATGCATTACATCCAACACTGGCCACCTGACTAATTCATTACGCTATTTATTGCAGGCTTCTAAGAATGCTGTAATAATTCCATCTGTCCTCAGGTCAGTTTCAATGTGCACATGGTAAGAAGTGCATTGAGCAACGGCAGAAGTGTGACGGTGTGGCTCAGTGTCAGGATCGCTCGGATGAAGTCGACTGCTTTAAGGAGGGCTGCGCTCATCGTTGTGACGAAACCAGATGCATCCCAGAATCCTTCATCTGTGACGGAGACGCAGACTGTGCGGACGGCAGCGACGAGGACAGCTGTGGTAGGAGTTTTGTTTAGACTTCTGTATTACTGGATCAGCTATGCTATAGAGGAAGTGTAAAATCCTCTGATTGGACCAATGATGGGCTCAGAATGGAACCTAGCATACTGATTATGGCATACTTTTATTATAAAATGGTAGTGAAACCGTACGCAACAAACATTTTCAAAAGTATCATATTTTTGTTGCATGATGTCATTACATTGCATACTTAATTCGGAGAGTGGCAATTAATCTCAATAGATAACTGGATATTTTAATGTAAGACTTGTGGGAAAAGAACTGTGCTTAATTGAAGTAGCCTACACTACAAGTGCAGACTAATACATGTATATTTCTGAAATAAACTACTTGCAGATAATATATTAATGAAAAGACCACTTAAGTGTACACTTTCATGACTTGACAAAGTGCACTTGAATGTCACATTAAAAGTTGTACTAGTTTTAGTCTTTTTCATGCTTTAAAGTACACTTTTGTTGTGTTGACTATCATACTAGAGCGCATGTTAAGTATTTGTTTATAATTGTGCCTGATAGGAATCCAACCTGATTTAGATAAGGTTCAGCGGGCTCACAACGCTTGGTGTAAATGTTCTGTCAGCTCAGGTCTTCAGAGCACACAGTGAGCTCTGGTCTAGAGACACGATACCATAGAGCGGATCATATGCGCGAGTCGGATTAGACCACAAAACATATCGGACCCATTTGAATCTGTACAGTATGCTGTATTTTAAAGCGATATGGAGGAGATTAGGAGGAAACTGCGGCTTTGCCGAGCTCAACGGCTCTGGCCGAACTGTGCTATAAACGAAACGCCATTGGCTATTATAAGAAAGGGGAGGAGCTGTTCGATATGTCCCACCCTGTCTTCCTGTTTCAGTGGAAATAACAGCAACACATTGAATAATGCTGTGCGTAAAAAAAAAGAAGGTAATTGCTTTTTAAAAAATTTTTTTTTTAACAATTCAGACTTTTTTTTCTCGCGGTTGCGAGTCTCTCACAATTCGGATTTTATTACTTGCGATTCCGATTTTATAACTTGCGATTCAGATTTTTCCCAAATGCAAGAAAGTCAAAATTGTGTTTCCTCTTGTCTTAGATGTTAACCCTAATGAATATGATGAAGACAACAAAGAGGAGAAGGACGAAAAGACAGCGGAGGATGAAGTCTCAGAAAAAGCTCCTGCAACTAAAGGACCCCTGCGCTGTGCTATCGGCTCGAAGCCATGTAGAGACGGGACGGACTGTGTGCTGTTTAATCATGTGTGTGACGGCGAGTTTGACTGCAAGGACGGGTCTGATGAAGACGAGTGCCCTGTGCAGTGTGAATCTGGTGAGGAAACCACATAGCAATACTCGCATTTATGCACTTTTACAAGTTGAGAATGTAAAAGTTAGAGTCCTCAATTCCTGCGCCAGCGTTAACTTGTTAAAGCAACACCAAGTAACTTTTCCTCTGCGGTCGCCCTACAGGTTGGAAGCGGAATTGTCCATTACCGCTGTCGTAAATAATTTAGCCTACCGCATCCTCCTGTCGCACACACATGCTCTGTCATGATTCCAAAGCCGGTGCTGGATAAACAATTTAAAAGCTACCCGGCTGCTAGGTATCTTACATGTAGTTGTAGTCTACTGTCGAGTACGCTCCACCTATCGGCAATTGTAACGCTTGCCATATAGCAAGTCAAACTTGTAGTTTTCTTATGTCTCA